CAGAATTTATATTTATGTAAGAATTTCAACAATTTGAAAATTAAGTTGTCTCTGAAGAGGTTTTATTACTAACTTACCAATGTCACATCTTATCTTCGCTCTCAGGAAATTTCTGCATAAATCAATTTTTGTTCCCTCTTCTTTTTAGTACTTTAACAGCTAAATCGTATTTGTTTATCAAAGTAATTTGCGCCACATATAAATGTTCCTTTGTTTTTTCGCAGTATGGAACAATGATTAAAGAGCCGACCGCAGTCATCCTTTCCTCTTCACTACAGAGGCTTTTCAAATCATACACTTGGTTTTGGTTAAAATTAGAAAGCATTCCAATTTTGATGATTCACTTCTCAACTACATGAACGTCTAGTGCACGTCTCTTGTCCCTGGTGATGCTGCTGTAACAAGTGTCTAGCTGAAGTCTCTTAAATGGAATAGCTGGACAAAAACAAAACTTCTTGCTTCGACTTTGTATATAATATGCGAAAGAATTTTATGATTTCATAATGTGCCGTTTTAAAGCAGATAATATCTTGTTTGGCCTTTTAGAACAAACTCGATCACATTTACATGGTATTTACAGGTTCATGTGTTGAGAGGTATTAATGAAATACACTTAACAAAATTGAGAATAAGAACAAAAATGAGATAAGGCACACTTTAAGCATAATCATATATTGCATCTGCACTCTTCGTTACTCAGTCAGAGTTTGTATTTTGACTGAGTCCTTCATACTTGGGGGCTTGTAACTAACATCATCTTCACAGTAAAATATTTCAACCAAATTAAACAGCCCATCAACATTACTTTTCTCACTTGAATTAGTTTTCTTTTGAGTTTGATGTTAAATACTTCTCATATAAAGACTGAATAAATTTTTTTTAACCTCTATTGGTGATTTTGGGAGTGAACAATTTTTTTTATGGTGAGTGAGCAATTTTTTTTATGGCTTTACCAAGACTCTGCCAGGATTTGTATAGGGAATTTAAATTATTTGTATGTGAAGAGATTGGTAGAATTTGATTTTTCTTTGTTTACACAATCTCTGCACAACAGCGTTTGCACTTCTGAGTTTTTTAAGTTCAGCTTTTGTCACGGAAGCTTTCTTATCTGCCTTTCTTTCTCTGCTTTTTTATCATATCATGGGGATCTTGTTCCCTGTTAACATTCTATCTGTCTTTCATCAGCTGTTTTAGCTTTTACTTTAATTGAAAAAGAAATAATTCCCTAGTTTTTGAAAAAGCTTCTCAAGGACTCGTTTTGTCATTCTATCGCCGAAGATGTGTCATTCCGTCACACTAATTATTGGAAGTTGATAAACAAATACATAAAATTTCATAATTTTTTCATTGATTCCTATGCCATATCTGCTTTATATTCTAAAATATACGCATTTTCATTTTGAAATGCAGTTGCTATCTGAAAAAGAGATTAAAACATGTGACGGAATGACACAAAAAAAATTTATTTTTATTTTATACATTAAACTTAAAATGACTTAAAGACTATGTTCTAAATGTTTAAATTTTCTACTATATGCATATTTTTATCAAAATATTGCAAAAGAAAGATGCATTTCTTTTATTTTATAAGTATTTTTCAAGAAAACAATTTGAACACAAATGTGGACAATTCACTTGTCAGCCATGTGATTACTTTAGAATGCCACCAGATTCAAAAAATTTAAAATTATCAGAAATGAAGCAGTAATATGTAGACTTTGGCTATTTTTGAACATATTTTTGAAATTAAAATATGCAATTCATAAAAAAAAAATTCACTTAAAAGTTGACACTTTCGTGGAATTGCCCTCCCCTCTTTGAAATGCGCTGTTTCTGGTTTCGATAGCAGCAGACGGCCTTAAACTTCGTAGTGAGGGGAGTTCTTTCTATAGACAAACTATATACCTTTGCCTAGTAAGTCTTCCTCTTTTTCGTTTGCCATTGGGTGCTCAAGTAAGTGTGATGAGATGAAGGATATGTCCAGTTCATCTTCTCTTCAAAATTTCCTCGTGAATGGGTGATGATTTTGCCTTTATTGATAGATCTTTATTGGAAATAGTGTTAAGCCAGAAATTTTTTTAAAATTATTCTTAAACATTTGTTCTGGAATGTTTCCAGTACATTCAACAACCCTACAAAAGTATGGAGCTTTATATTATTGTGGAGATTTTTATGTTTGAGGCTCACTAAAATTTTTGAAGGCCTCTGGAACAGCTTTCACGATTCTTCGTTTTACATCATCGTTACTGCCTCAGTGTTTAATTTACTATTGCACCAAGGTATGTGAAAAAATCAACTTCGGATACATTTCCCGACTTAGCTTAATTGGGGGCCCTAGGCAAAAACTTATTTAGCCCCCCCCCCTTTGTTTCACTACGTCAGTAATGAAGTACAGAACTTTACGGAAGTATTTAAATTTTGTGATAATGTAAAACTTTAGGCTTTTAATTGACCAAATTTGTCCATCGTCATTGCAAAAATTTAGCTGAATTCCGCCCTAGAAAGACATGGATTTACGACATGTAGATTTTTTGTGTTCCATGCGATAGATTAATGAAGAAGCTAACATAAAGTTTACGAATTTCACACTGTACTGATAATTTGTTTAAAAAAAGTTCAATAAAGAAGGAAACGCAAAATAAACTTTCCATTCGATTTGGGACCCCCTCTGATGAGGGGGGGGGGCAACAGCCCCGTATGCTCCTGCCTTATTCAGGCTCTGTTCAGATATAACTAACACAGGAATCGTAAGATGAAATGACATTAAACACTAGTGCAATCACAAAATCAAAACAATTTACTAAGTCAATATTGATAACTAAGAGGTAAATAAACACATTGAAACTTTACTTCATTGATTCAAATTGGAAAAGCGCACAATGCGGCTGAAACCAACTTTGTATAAATGTTGTATAAATATTTAAATATTGTCGCTTTTATTAACTGTAACTGTTACTTTGCTTGGATTTTTTATATTGTGCTTTTAGGAGGCGTTTAATTCAATTGTTGATTTAAAATTTGTACCTTTTAGGTGTGATTCTTTTTCAAATTTACAGTGATATTAATTTGTGGTAAAAGTTTTTTTTCAATTAACTTTCGATCATCACAAATGATAAATTATGATTGTATTCAAATTCGGTGAACAAAATAATATTTTATCTAAAATTTAGATTTATGATATATTGAAGCTATTATTATTCACTCAGCAAAGCAATGTTCAGTTTTTTCTTCAATGTTTTACGATTCAGTTTTTATATTAAATATTCGTTGAATCATATATCTGCTACATTTCAGATTTTGAAATTCATGACTAATTCCAAGAATTTTTCATGACTTAACGAAGTTACTATTTTCTCCGAAAAAAAAAAAAACAGAGCAATAAATTTAAAAAAGCATTATAATAACATTAATTGAAATGATAGGTTTAACCAAAACTGATATACTCTACATCTTCATATTTATAGATTTTAAATTTAAAAAAATAGAGTAAAGAAAGAGTTGAAGTAATAAAATAGCTGAAAAAAATACAAAAGCAAATCATTTCTTTTTTTCTGAAGAATTATTTCTAGATACTTTTCTTGTTCATCGGAAAGGAAAGTAATACTTTTGATTTTTCTGCACTCATTTCGGAATAAAAAAAATTCGCCAATGACTGGCTTGCTTCAACTAGAATTTTAAATTGATAAAATAAAAAATAATAAAAATTATGAAACAGAAGTTTAAAGGATAATCCGCTCCAGAAATGTTTTTTCTTTCATTTTTTTAAACCGAATTTTTAAAGAACATACTAAAAATATTTTATATTTCAATAAACTAGGACTGTGAGTGGAGATTTTGTTAGAAATTCAGATATTCGGAACACCATGAAATCGGGGGGGGGGGGATTCCATTTTAAAAATGAGATTTTTTGGAAGTGGTGCAAGTGGCAAAACATGGTTTTGGAACAAGAAAAAAGCAATTTTGGAGCAGCAAAACAAAGATTTGGAGTATACTTAATAAAAAAGAATTAAAACAAGAATTCTTTGTTCATTAATAACATATCTTATTTAATGAGTATATTTCAAAAAGTAATTCTTTTTCATTATCAAAATATGAGAAA